GCAGGAAGACGACGCCGAGCGCCGCCATGGCCCCGGCGGCCACGCAATTCCGGCCGCGACACCCCGCCCCGGAAACGCGCGCGCGTCCCGCCCCAGAGCGCGTCGCCTGTAGCCATGGCAACGGGTCCTACGCATTCGCGTAGCTGCACACGTGGCGGCCCAGTCACCAGGGCCCGCTCCACCTGTACTGTAACCCGCTTGGGGTCGGGCGGATGGCGCCGGCTCTGGCCACGAGTCCGCACCGTGCCGACGGCGGTGGGCGACCGAGCAGCCCTCAAGGTCGCGGGAGGGCCTCCGGGTGGACGGAAGTTGGGGTGCGTAGGTCCCCAGGTGAGGGAGTGCTGGCCCACAGGCTGCGGCGTACATGCGCGCAGCGATGGGGGTGTGCAGGGGAAGGAGAGGTTGGAGGCCAGGCTGGACGGGACTACTTCGTGGGTCACGTGCCATCTCTCTATTGACAACAGCAGTGTGGGCATGGGCGGGTGCGCAGATCTGCCGCTCTGTATTCAAGGGATATGGCACATTTGGGGGAATGGGGTGGGGTCTTGAGGAACTGGATTACTGGTCCTAGGATGAACTGGCCCATTCCCAGCTGTGACGGCAGGCCCAGTCCCTTTGTGTCTGCAGCCTCTTGTGTGACCGAGCTCTGTGGATGCAGCTGAGGCTGTGGGCCAGGCACAGGTCTCCGAGCTGGCCTGTGCTCCCTGAGCACCTGGCTTGTGCACCTTGGCTCCCTGCCAGCCCTTCATCGTTAGGAAGCTGCCCTCTCAGCCTCTCCGTGTCTGTGGAAGTACCTAACTCCAGGCTACAGCGAGGCACCGTGGAGTCCTGTCTGGGTGCAGACTGAGAAACACCCTCCCCTCCCTCGGGTATGTGGCCTCAGTAACTGGAGCAGCCTGGTGCAGCGCCCTTCGGCATGGGGAACCTGAGTGGGCAGAAGAAAGAGGGAGTGTGGAAAATCCCTGCTCTGGCTGCTGCCTGGAAGGGCCAGGCCTCCAGACATAACTGCTCGCTGACTTGGAGAAGCAGTCGTTGTCTCTGGACAGATGCTGGCTCCTCTAGGACCATAGTGTGAATGGGTATGGGGTGCTCTGGAACTGGTAATTGGTAACCCAGCCCCCCCCCCTTTCCATTTGCCACAGGGCACAAGATTGCAGTGTGTGTGTGTGGGGGGGGGGAGTTGCAAAAAAGCATCCCATAAGGGTCATGGACATACCAGTGTCTTTTCTTCCATCTCTCCTTCCTTTAGGGATTTTGCGCATGCATGCACTCCCTACCCCCTAGTATGTTTTTGAAGCAACTGGGTCTGGAGTTAAAACCATACATGTAATTTTAGTCACGTGTGATCCAGCCACCTGAACCACCAGGCCATGAGCTGGCCAGAAGCTGGCCCACTTTTCAAGGAGAGCCATGCAGCATCCTGACGCCAGGAATCAGAGCATAGTGACCAGGCAATAGGCAAAACCAGAGCCAGGCACACCCCTGCCTCTGGGCCTCCAGTGGGCAAGACCTCTGGCTGTGGCTTCACCCGTAAGACCTGCTCCCACCTGCAGTGGAGCTGCTGGGGCCCTCTGCTGTTCCAGCTGGGCCATGGGACCCAGGTCATATGGGCAGTCCTATGCACATGTTCACACCCATGTCTGACAGGCCGGAGTCTCAGGAGATCCCTGGCGCTTCACAGCAAAAGCTGCAGACTTGGAACTCTCCCCTGCCAGGTGCCTCACTGCTTCCTGTGACACTTTCTTCTAGAAACAGATGGGCCAACCCAGGGTCTCAAGGCCAGGCATCCACTGTCCTCCTCGTCTCCCCAAGGAGAAGGCCTCCCCAGTACGCCCCTGCTCTCCCCTCAGGCTCTGACCCCTGTCCCACTCACTTCTGCTGGACTCCATCAGGCTTTGGTAGTTTTTATTGATTCCTCATCAGGGTCCTTAGGAGTGACCTAGGGGAGGTGTGGGGGTCTTTCATTGAGAGAAAATCTTTGTAAGAATAGTTGGAAATAGCCCTTCCTCCTCCTACAGAACAGTATCACCAGTGACCTGGAGATCAGATAATTTCCTGGTTCCCATGAGGTGCCACCATGTCTTGGAGCCACACGCAGGCTAGGAGCACCCAGATGGGCACAGGCTAGGCCTGGGGTGGGCTCAATGAATGTGTATTGGAGACCAGCAATACACAGGCTACCTCTGTGCAGCCTGTGCTGCAGCAGCACCACCACAAGAGGGCAGAAGAGCCTTGCTTTTCCCAGTCTGAGAGGCCAGAGGAGTGCTTTGCTTGACCTGCACTGAATGAAGAGGAAGAGCCCCGGACCCTGAGACCATCCCCACCCCCTAGATCTGTGTGGAAGAAATGGGGTTTCAGAAGCTGTGCCCAGGCTGCCCCCAGCAGCTCCACCTTCTAGAGTAGGCTTGGCCGCCAGCTGCCCAGCTCCCCCACCTGGCCTCGGCCAGGCAGGTGTGCTGTGCAGGTCTTGGCGCCACACCTGTGGAAGCTGTTGTGGCCCTGGGTCTCATCCATCCCATAGCACGCTGATTCCCACTCCATGGAAGGGCCCTGAGACGGGGGACTTGGGAACAGGGTGCAGGGCTCCTGACCTGGGAATCTTCCAAAGAGAGTCGGAGTCTGCCAGAAGCGGGGCCCCAGGTGAGGCCTGGCTAGCTGGGACTGCTGTGTCCATCTGGACAGTGGGGAGGGTGGGCAAGGACCCATCGGGACCAGGTGTGTGGGGACGAAATGTGAGTCCTCACAAGATGAGCAGGTGGAAGGGGACCGGGTCTCAGCAGATCTCAGAGCTCCTGCCCCTCTGGCGTCCACAGGCAACTTTGTCTAGTCCTGTCGCCTCATTGGTGGATCCTGCGAGTTCCGTCCTGGTCAGCAGGTGAAAACAGCACCCCCTGGTGGCCTATAGTGTGGTAGCGCCTGCTCTCCAGGACGATGGAGGTCTGGTCCTGGGGGGTCCATGGGAGATGCTGGTTCTGTGGAAGTCCACACAGGCCACTTTCCCCCCTTGGAGTGCATGTGGCACCTGGCTCCTGTCCTTCTGCCCTGACACATCTGAGCAGTCGCTCAGGGAAGCTCGCACAGCATGTGGGCTATGTGGGGGCAGAGAGGGCCTAGGGTGAGGACTCAGGGATGGGGGGCCCTGCAGAAATGCTGGATCTGGAGGGGGGTTGATGCCACCTTGGAATTCCTCCAACCCAGGCTCCCATCTGACCCTTCCTTAGGATCAGGACCCCTTCCTCCAGCACAACCGAGGGGAGTGAGACCTGTGTGAAACCGTGGTCTGTCATGCCACCTGTCACAGTCCTCAGCTGGCTTCTATGACAGAGACACCAGGGGAGAAGCTGCCATTTACCAGTTAGGACAGATATTGGGTCACCCAGTGTGCTCACTTGGCCAAGGAAGTCATCTTAAAATGTCTGACCCCTGAACCAATGAGAGGAGCCCAGCTGGTCCCT